GTCGACGCGCTCATCAGTCTCCTCAAATTACCGACTGGGAGGAACCCTGAATTAAGGTTGTTTATAGTTCGAGATGTTGTCAGTTGCAAGGTAGAGGGCGCCAGTGCTGCTTCAAGTGAGCCATTTTATCTAAACAATACAATAAAGAAATAATAAAGAAAATAATTCTAAAATGCTCAAAATTCCTCAGCTGGCAGACCAGTGTATGCAGGAGGATTCATCTCTTAATTTTTTATAAATCCCTTTTTAAAAAAAGGCAGGGGTGAGTAGGTTTACAGGCCACACTTTATTCAGTCACTCGTTTCACATTTTATTTGACAGTCGGCCAAAAGTTTAAGATGCTTTTGGAGTTCATGTTGAGGTCAGGCTACAAAGTCTAACCAGACAAGACAACTGGCCCCGTTTCACCGACAGACAGCAACACTTGGATTGATTGTATTTATTTTTAAAGTTCCATTATTGCATCATTTGTTCCCACTTGTAGTGAAGCATCTCCAGATTCCAGTGACACTTTTTCAGGACAAATTCAATGTTGCATCTTTTTTAATACTTTAAAAAGCTTCCCTTCTTGGTTGTCCTTGTGTTATAATCACATCCACGACGCTTTTTATTTCTTTTTAAACTGGCTAAAATATATGATGAGGTATTCATATCAAAAAGTCCTTACAACTTAAAATAAACTCTCTCTTTGGGAATGCAAGAGCCATATTAGACTTAATAAGATGTGTTAAGTGATTTATATTAAAAAAAAGTTAAAATGCTCCTTTAGTTGCACTACTGACTACATCACAGCCAATAGCCCTCAGTTGAGGTTAATCAGTCTGTGGAGCAAGATAGTTTTTTGATCGTGGTGCCAACATTGTTTGAAGTTGAGCAAAGAATGTTCTTGTAACTTTATTTTTGTTGAATAAACCTCTTTAAATGGAGTTACTGCCTCTGAAGAATCATTACGTGTCAAGCTTATTGCCAATACACAGACTGTAACGGTAGCGGTGATGTGGATTATCGGACGGAGGGAATCTGTTTACAGAGGTTCAGCTCGACACAAATTATTTAACAACTTGTATTGATATGTAGAGTCATAAAACAAACTTGTGACACCAGGTAAGGTTTTCAAGCCATCCACTTTAATGAAATATTGACTCAGGCTACCTTGTTAAATACTTATACAGATACAGTAATGTATACATTTAAAGTTACAACATACAGCAGATCCACATATGGATGTATTTAAAACAATGTTCTCCTCATAATATTTGAAGAATGTCATCAGCCAGTAGTGCAACCGTCAGGGAGGACTTCATTTGACCGAATGGAACAGTTTGTGTGACACCTACAGAGGACGAGAGGAAGTTAATTAATGCAATAAACTTTAGTGAACTTCTCCCACACAACTTCCCTTCTCTACACTGGCTCCCTGTAAGAGCTCGCATCCAGTTTAAGACTCTGCTGCTAGCCTACAGGGCAGTGAAAGGAAGAGCTCCTTCCTATCTCCAGGTCAAGCCTGGTTTATGCTCTTAGATGATTGTTTAAAAAAGGAGCTGCACTTATGACTTCTGGTGACTAGTAGTTCTCTTGAATACCGATGTTGAATACACTTATTGTAAGTGGATTTGGATAAAAGCGTCTGCTAAATGACTAATGTAATGTAAACCTAAGTCATTTTGCAAACAAAAAAACATTTTAATATCACCAAGTTGCTGCTTGTGACATGCAGGACATACTTGCAAATGTTTGGTAAAAACATTTATTATTTATTTGATACAGTTATCCCAAAATCTGCAAAAATTCATCTTGACAATAAAAATCTACATCAAACTGGAGGGGTGTTGTGGAGCATATTTTTAAGTTAAGTGTGTCATGAGTCAACTGTGAATTATTTGCAAACCACATTTCTCAACTGAACTTATCTTGAAAAAAGACTTACTACTTGTTGGAGCCATAATGTGTTTTTGTTGTTTTCTTATGTCTTTGAGGGAAACATGGGGGTGGGTACACATGCAGTTCTGACATTGAACAGTGGGTGGCACATTAACCTAAAAGTGCATAAGTGCCTGGTAATGAGAATCAGGTGTGTGTGGACGGGAAGCTAACAGTTTTTGACCGTGTCAAGTTGGCGTGTCAGCCAGCATGTCAGCTTGGATTTTCAAGGTCTTTTATTATCCTGTGGTGTTCTGTTATGGTGTCAATATGCATTTGAATAAATGGATCAACGGATCTAAAGAAAGACAGCGCATTGGACAGTAAAATGTTTGTGTAACAGGTTCTCCCGTTCGCCCCCCAGTGGCTTTAATATATAAAATGGATATTTGCTAAAGTCACTACAGTACTCATATTCTATTTGAAAATGAATAACAAATGCATTGACATGAAGCGTGAATCCTTCGGTGGTGTATTCTTCCTCTTTCTGCTTGATACAACTGGCAAATGTCAACACTTACGCAGTGGTCGCGGGCATGCAGGAAGTCAAACAGCTCCTCGGTACAATCCTCCGCTGTCGAAGACCGGGAGCCAACTCTGGTCTCACAATGCTCCAGACGCTCCCGAGTGTGAACGCAGTGCTCCGTCTCTTCACACTTCTGTCGCATCGTTTCAAGGGGATCCTGAAACATACAGTGCAGCATTCAGAGCACGTATCTTGTGGAGTGTCCTTCAAAAAGGGGGCGACACATTCAGTAGATTCAGCACCGCACTCACTTGCCCCGTCGGTATCAACCAGGATAAACTAAATAGGTTGTAAACATCTAAGCAGCAGCACTATCACAAACTACCAAAATGACCATGAAGTTGTACCTAATACAACTTGTTACTGAATGTATAAGTGTATGAAGGGGATACACATAGTTCAATACATAACAACGGTGCGATTCAGACAAGTCTGGTACCAGCCAGTAAAAAGGGGGTTCTGGTGGTACATTTGTAACATTCTTTTATGTGGAGAAAGAAAAATGTCTCGTGTATTTATTGATAAATTTCCAGAGGGAGGGGTTGGCGAAGGAGAAGACCTGAAATGACTCCTTGTCTTTTTATTACTGCTCACGCTATACCGTCTAAACACACCTTTGTGTTTCTCATGTTTGTCAGTTTAATACTGGTGTGTCTTCCGGCTTATTCATTAAACTAAATTAAAAGGCGACCAGACTCGTGATCAAACGCGTGTTCTTACAACAATACAGAGACACAGTTAACATATATTCACTCTGATGTGTGGATGAACATACCACCATGTCTTCCTCCTCCTCTTCTTCTTCCTCCTCCTCCTCCTGAAACAGACATAACCTTGCATGACCCAATCAATCACATAATTCATTTCCAGCCGTCAGGCAGTTGTTTTGGTATGGATTACACATTTAACAATTAGCAAGACAACTTTACTAAATGACAAAGTAGAATGACATGTTGTATTCTGCTGCATGAATAAGCTTAAACATGTTTCTGAACGCCAATGGAAACATTGACGTTAGCTAAGGCTAAGCTGGTGATGATATAGCGTTAGCTTAGCCTTGTTGTGTTAGCTTGCTAGCTAAGATAACCAAACGTTACTGGCTTAGCAGAGTTATCTTAAATCTATCGTAGCTACTAACATCCTTGGGCTCTCCGTTCATTATCATCTTCTCCTCGAAGACCATGATTTTTGGTGTTCTTGTCCTTCGATGTCCGTCTGTCAAATCTCGAGTGTTGGAGGACACGGAGGGTCACACGAGCACAGCGGTTAGCTACGAAGTTAGCGAAAAACTAGCCACACAATTTCCGGTCATGGGACTTTCAAAACAAACTTCACGCTCAACAACTTTGTTTAGGATGTCTGGAGTCACTACATCCTACTATATAACTATAACGTTTATAATAGCATTAGTTATAAGATAACATTTAGCCTGTCACTCACTCAGTAGCGTTTTTCACAACAAAAGTTGCGAGTTTTGTTTTTTAATGAAGCGTTTATTGTGTTTTATTTTGAAATTGGTTGTGTCATTTCCATCGGCCAAGTTTATAAAGCTCTATACTACCATCATGTGTTGAGAAGTAGTTCTACACCAGCTAAATTAATTATCACACTAAAATCATTGGCGAGTTACGCCAATGATTTGTGGCAACAGTTTGCATCTATGCCTAACATGCTGGGCCACACGGCTGTGAAAGCGAGTCATTAGCTACCTCATGTTTATAATATTGTACAATGTAGTTGTTCATGGTTATTTGAGTGCCCTGTTTTGTCAAATGTAATGTGAAGCCCTTGTTTTTTTATTGCACTACTTTTTGGAGTGATTAATGTACATGGGTGATGGGACAGATTCTACAGTTCCCTCTAATAATAATTCCAGTGGACCATGTACCCAGTATCAGTAGTTTAACTCAACAGTTGTTTAGTGTAAATTTTAAACGACACTAACACATGTTAACACTAAGTATTACTTGATCACCTGTGCAGTGTTGACCAGTTATTCTGTGAACACAATAAACATTAAGTTCTGGTATCTCATCATTTTAATTTTGGCTGCCTCTTTGTTTTATATACGATGAGATTACACTTTACCTTCGTCACAAACAAATTATATTCCCTACACTGCAAAATCAGAGCAATTGTTAAGGTCACTGATTAACAGTGTTTTCAAGCCTTTACTAAGTATTGAGAGGGCAGAGTCCAGTGCAACCATTCGGCTTTTGATATGTTGCCATGAGATAATAGTGAGCCTCTCCTATACTTGGAGAGATACTGTAGGTTATATGACTGGCTCTTGGCAACACACCAGTTTTTATGTGACAAGAAAGGCAAGGAAAACACAGGCTTTATTTAGACAGGCTTGAGTCCTTGATTACAGAATGGATTCAATCTTTTCTGTACTTGGATCCTATATTAACTGGGATGTCAAAGGTCTGCTGCTCTTCACTGTAGTCTTCATCCTCACTACAGATTATATTAAGAACCGTCGGCTGGGAAGCTTCCCTCCAGGGCCCCGGGCATTTCCTATCCTGGGCAACATATTCACTGTGGATTACAAAAGGACCCATGAGAGTCTGACACAGGTAACAGATGTCAAAAAAAAATAGGCCGTTAAAAATGTTAAAGGTTTCCTAATGGGACTGCTTGTGTGATCTGTTATGTTAAGCATCATGCTTTTCCTCCTCTCACAGTTAGCTGGGAGATATGGAGATGTGTACAGCCTTCGATTTGGTCAGAAATGGATGGTGGTGTTAAACGGGTTCGAGGTTCTGAAAGAAGCTCTGGTTAATCAGGGAGACAGCCTGGTAGACCGCCCAGTGCTCCCGCTGGTGGAGGACACATCCCATGGACAAGGTGAGCAGACCTAACACACACACAAACGCATTTGTTAATACATAATGAATGAACAAAAGATAGAGGTGTTTTTGCTACTGGGAATCTCAGTTTTGTTGACCCTTCAGCATCATTCTTGCTTCTTCTGATCAACATCTCCTGTGTGGTTGTCACAGAATTCATTAGAAACCTATTAGCTTTCCTGTTAGTGTGCTTCACACATAACAAATGTATTTTTACATAGCAGTTTTTTAGCACTTACAAAAATGTACCTTAATATTATCATTTTGTAGGAGCGTGGAAAGAAACAAGGAGGCGAGTATTCCCTTTGGCTGCACCTTGTGGCCGTTTATTTCCATCCATACAAACACGTCTTCACATTCACTTCCTGCCACCCTTTAACCCCCGCTGTCACCAGGGTTACGCCCCTTTCCTTAAAGGGGCCCCGTGAATTCGGTCGTCCCCTACAATTTACTTATTTTTATTATTTAATATTTGTGGAAAAGAATATTCCTGCATTTTCCTGGTTTCTATCTAATTAATTTGAATTCCTTTTTGTCCACTATCAGGTGTAATTTTCAGTAATGGGAATATATGGAAGCAGCAGAGGCGTTTTGCACTTTCAACCCTCAAATATTTTGGATTTGGCAAGAAGTCACTTGAACCCATCATCTTGGATGAATTTACATATTGTGCAAAAGACTTCAATAGCCATAAAGGTCAATAGTAAATGCACAGCAACACATTAAGAGTATACACAATAACAAATACACAATTTAAATTACATTTTCTGTTTAATTGTGGAGGTAAGCCCTTCGATCCACACCTTGTCATCAACAACGCTGTCTCCAACATCATCTGCTCCCTGGTTTTTGGGCATCGCTTTGAATATGGTGATGAGAAGTTCATGAAACTGATGAAGTGGTTTGACAAAGTTCTCGAAATCCAAGCCTCCATTTGGGCACAGGTACAACATTTTATAGCTGTTGATGAAATCTTAATGCTGTATATCATACATTCCTCTTTGTGAATCAGTTAATCATTCATGCTAGTAGTTGTAATATGTGGTACATATATAGTAAGATATAAGAAAAAGCCGATTTGTAAATGGGATTTCAATATTTGCTATTGATTGTTATAGAAAAAAGAAAATGAGTTTTCAATATGCTGTTGTTCCAATCTACTCTACTCTGCAGTTTTACAACTCCTTCCCTCTGGTGATGAGACGTTTGCCAGGGCCTCATCAGACAGTCCTCCACATGTGGAACAGTGTAAAGGACTTCATAAGGGTAGAGCTTAAGGAGCACAAACAGAACTGGGATCCCTCCGATAAAAGAGACTATATCGACTGCTACCTGAAGGAGATTCAGATGGTGATTGGCACTAGATGTTGCTTTGTTTTTCTTATTCTGTGTTTCTCATGAAGTTCCTGTGAACATCATAACTGCTTGTTTTGCATCTACATCAGAACTTTCAGCTGTTAATGTGTTGTACTGACACAACGTTTAATTGTGGCATCACTCCTGTCTGCTATGTGTTGAAATGTGCAAATAAGCCCTTTTGCCATGGCCTCTGCCTTACATGTCTTATCTCCAACAGCATTCACTTCTTTTAATCAAACAAAGCCAAGCCTTTTTCAAGATGCAAAGTCCAGTACAGGCTTTTAGTTTACCATAACAAAATACTGTAACCCTGGCTGCAAAAGTTCTGACAACAACATAGTTATTCAAAATAATTGAACAGTATGTTTTAACACATCTATTTGTATATACTCTCAGAGTAAGGGGCAGGCTGACAACACTTTTGATGAGGAAAACCTGGTTGCGTGTGTCATGGATCTGTTTGTGGCTGGATCTGAGACCACTTCCACCACCCTGCGCTGGGCTTTCCTCTACATGGTAAAGTACCCAGAGATCCAGGGTAAGAGCACCGACCAAATCACTGAAGCTCTTTGTTCCCACTCAATACTGTGCAAATGGTTAACACATTTATTGGTGGTCATTTGTAAGTGTAGAAACTAGATGCATAATGTCGCGACTTTTATTTCCAAGGTGACAAATACGGTGAAATCACCAGTGCCAACAAACAACAGGAACACAAATCTATTCACTAATGTGGTGTCGCTTCATCTTTCCATGAGTTTGCAGCCTCTTGATAAAACATTTACTACTATTAAATACTGTAACTTTTTTTCTTTTCCCCTCCTGTTTCACAGCAAAGGTCCAGGCCGAGATAGACGGAGTGATTGGACAGTCCAGACAGCCGTCCATGGAAGATCGTATCAACCTGCCTTACACGGACGCTGTCATACACGAGGCCCAGAGGATGGGCAACATAGTTCCTCTCAGTCTGCCTCATGATACCAACAGGGACATCCAGCTGGGAGGCTACACAATCCCAAAGGTCAGTTCTCATATACAATTTTTATGTCACATACACGGCCATGTTGCATCTTTATGAGTTGCTTTTACAATTTCAATCACCAGGGAGTTACAATAATCCCCAATCTGACCTCGGTGCTGTTTGACAAGAATGAGTGGGAGACGCCCAACACCTTTAACCCAGGACACTTTCTGAACGAGGAGGGCAAGCTTGTGAAGCGAGCTGCTTTCATCCCCTTTTCTGCTGGTGAGGAACAACACAACCACTTGTATTATTGGTGTCTTCACTTCTTTATACAGGAGCTTGTCCCAGCATACACTGGGACCCTACGGTGTTCCTCACATAATGACATCATTACGTAAAGCTATTGTGGGTAATGTTTTGAGGAACATGTATTATGATCATTTTTTTGTGAACCACTCGACCTAAAATTAGGACCAAATTTATGACAGTTACCACAACGCTTAAAAGTTCTACTTCCTATGAAGGCCTTATGAGAATGACTGCTGCTGTTGACGTAAATTAGTTTGATTCAGTGGCCAAAACTCTGTGTCACAGAACTTTTCAGTTTGTTTGTTTTCCTGTCTCAGGTAAGCGGTTGTGTCTCGGGGAGAACTTGGCCAGAATGGAGCTTTTCCTCTTCTTCACCTCTCTGATGCAGCACTTTAACTTCTCCATGCCTGCTGGGGTGAAGCCTGTGATGGACTTTCGCTTTGGCGTCACTATGGCACCAGTTCCATATGAAATCTGTGTAACATCCCGCTGACGTAAAAAAATGTTGAAGCAATATGTTTTTTTTCTGTCTTCACCACTCAGGATTACAGTCACTGTGACCGGGTTTGTTGAATATATCAAACTGATATTTGGCTTATAGATGACATGTCATTAGGTCCACTGCAGATATCTCTTTCGGTCTACAAAACTCTGATATAGATGGTTAATTTGCACAACTTGCATTTTTTTGTTTAATTGCATTTTTTTTTCCAGTTGACTCCAAACCATGGCTGTATGACCTCCAACTTTTAAACCTATAGTTTAATTAATTAAGTCTCTTTTGAATTTCAGAATACTAGCAGCAATTTAATAAGCACCTACATTATTCAAATATTTGTATTGCTTTCTTTCGTTTGAGGGTAATGTGATACATCTTTAAAAACATTTTGGATTTCCAACACCTGCCCAAGAAAATATGGAGGTCAATATCTACAGAACATACCTTTTTATTTTACGTTGAGACTCATTTAATTATGATAAGAGGGTAAGGCAATCATTTTGTAAAAGCTAAGGTGTTGGAGGAAGTTTTTAGCTTTAAGATGAGACGGCAACTTAATCAGCAGCATGCATCTAATGTATGTATGTATGTGTGCTAATAAATAACTTTACATTAAATCTTTTGGTATTGAGACAATTATAGAATATAATTCTAAGGATAGAGCTTATAATTAAGAACATCGCTGTAGTCGTGCGAAAACCTTGTAAGTCATCTAAAATAAAGTATTAAATAACTGTTCTAAGCTAACACAACTAGTAGCCTACTCGATAAAGGCCACCTGCAGTGTTTTTAAGAAAAACGTTGCTAAATTTGATGAATTCCCTGTTCTTGGAAAGTGTTTATTTTGGAGGTACAAGTGTTTGCGCTGGTGACTTAAGTCCGTTCCAGGAAACAGTCAATCCAGCAGTCCAACAGTCAAACCAGCAGTCCAACAGTCAATCCAGCAGTCCAACAGTCAAACCAGCAGAACAGTCAAACCAGCAGTCCAACAGTCAAACCAGCAGTCCAACAGTCAAACCAGGCACAGTCGCTGTACTGTTTACCACAGTGTTTAGATAAGATTTGTAGCCCACCCACTGCCACTGTGATATTCTTGGAAGCGAACACAAAACTGCAACCAGTGTATCCTGAGGCAGCCGGTCGCAATGGATCAACTCTCTGGTGTTTCCTCCGCGTGGCTGTCGCTGGACGGCCGCAGCCTGCTCCTCTTCACGCTGGTGCTCCTGGTGACCGCAGAGTATTTAAGGGTCCGTCGGCCCAGCAGCTTTCCTCCAGGACCCTGGGCTTTTCCTCTCGTGGGCAACACGTTCTCCTTTGACCCGAGCAATGTCCATAGAGACATAACTAAGGTGGGACTGAGATAATGCATCCATTTGTAGTCAGATGGAGGGAAATAAATTACCTTACAAAATATATAAGTAAGATAGTATACAAACTAAAATAATAAAGCTCTTAAAACTAGAGTTTGAAACTGAACGTACTGTATGATGATCCTATTATATTAAACTACACAAACAGTAGCCTATATAAACTTATTTAAATTAGCTCCACCTTGACCAACTAAAACAGTAAAACTATTTAGATAATGCACCAGTAATACTTATATTATATATAACGCTCACAGGGAGGCGTTTCTGCTTCATGAGAACTTTTTCTTTTGACACCTTATGTATATGTTGCTTATAGAAATTCTACATAAGTGCCATTGCGGGACAAAGCAGGACTTTTACTTGTAAAGTACTTTGATAATATTGCAGTATTGCTGCTTTTAAGAATTTAAATAGGATAGAAGATGTGGGCATTATCTCAAGAACCAGTCAAACTAAAATAATTGGGTTGGATACAACTTAATAAACCTGAAACTGTAAAAATGAGAGAGCTGTGAAGGACACAACAGCCCATACATGGTCAAAGATCATTTAGTTTCCGCAGCCTTTCCAGCTTTGATATCTACAGTCAAATCCAATTTGCCTGATTTTCAAATCAATTCTTAAACAACACTGGATATTATGCAATGTGGTTGTTGAGGAAAAAAAGTATACAGAGCTAATATATTTTACAACTTTCTCCTGCTGTTTTGAGCATTTTCTCACGACTCAAGGTAAAGGTGGCATGTTTTCTTTTTATCTCACTCACCTGTGTTTTCTTTGTGGCAGTTAGCAGAGAAGTATGGGAAAGTGTACAGCCTGAAAATCAGCGGCTCGTGGACGGTGGTGTTGAATGGCCTCAGCGCGCTTCAAGAGGGCCTCAGTAAAGGAGCCCTGTCTGATCGGCCATACTCTCCACTCCATAGTGATGTGTGGCCCGAGATGGGTAAAGACTTATTTATGACCACGTCGACTTAAGATTTTCTACTCCATCACCGATGGGCTGCAGCGATTGGTGGATGGTTTTTGCTCATTGACTATGAAGAACAGTGTCATACAATATTTTGCTCAAGTGGAGCTGCTGAAATTTGTAAAATAGGATATTTCATCCATTTTAAGGATTCAAATGCATTTTAGTTCCTTGAGATAGTCTTTGTTGCTTTCACTGATGTGATCTGAAACCATAAATGTCAAAGACCGAGAAACGTGTAATTTTTCATTGGTAAATCAGAATGGACACTGACTTTATGAATGTGATGTTCTAGTGTTGCTAATGAAGCAGAGTTTAGCCTGTCACTATATTCAAGAATAAGTGCATGTTCATGACAAGTTAATCAAGTAATCAAGTATTCCTCTAGAGTTTGATCAAATTTAAGATAAACTCACTGAGTTTTCCACTTTACATACAGACTGTTTTGTACTCACTGTGAACTCCTTTATATCACAATCTGTTGTTATTAATCTAAATTACATTTTTCTCATCAGGTATTGTTTTTTCTAATGGACATAAGTGGAAAGAGCAGAGGCGATTTGCCCTCTTCACTCTCAAATACTTTGGCGTTGGCAAGAAATCCCTCGAATCCTCCATACTGGATGAATTTATTTATATATCCAAAGAAATCGCTAATCATAAAGGTAAAGAATCTGATGCACAAATATCTAAAACTGGCTGTAACTGCTGTAATCTGAATACATAATGCTTCTTGCTCATCTGACAGCTCATTTTTCATTTTGATATGTTTGCCATGTGATCAACTGTCCAGGGAAACCCTTCACTCTTCATTTAATAATGAACAACGCTGCCTCCAACATCATCTGCTCCCTGGTTTTTGGTCATCGCTTTGAGTACGGTAATGAGAAGTTTCTGAAACTGTTGACGTTGTTCGACAAAGGGACCCAGATTGAAGCCTCCATTTGGGCAAAGGTACTGCATTTCAAAGCTTTTGATGAAAGCTTCTTGCTTTGTACAGTACTTGATCAATATATCTGAATACTATCTTATCCTGATCAGTATTCATTGATCTTTTGATGTCACAGATTAAATTGTTGCGAGGTATTACGCGTTGACTTAAATGTGTCTTATTTACAGTCTTCTCATTGATATTAACAGCTGTACAACATGTTTCCTGTGCTGATGAGGCGTCTGCCGGGGCCACACCACACGCTTCAAAATATATATGGTGAACTAATGGACTTGATGAAAGCAGAAATCAATAAGCACAAGGAAGACTGGAACCCCTCTGAGCCCAGAGACTTCATTGACTGTTACCTGAATGAGATTCAGAAGGTGGGTGGACAAACGGCCACTGTTTTGATAAGCCATTCATCTTTCAGAGTCATTTTTCAAGCAAAACTACCAGCCATTCCTCAGTCCCAGCTTCTCAATTTAAACATTTGCTACTTTTCTTTGTCTTACATGATTGTAAAATGAACATCTTTTGGTTTTGGACTGCTGATATTGCAGCCCTGATTTGTAAGGATTTGCTCATATTCCTGAGGAAAGACAAAGTATAAAAAGACTGTAAATTGGCTTTAATATCACTCAAATGGATGTAACATTACTTTTATGACTCAGATCCATGTTCCCTGACTAACCATTGTGGTGGAAAAAACTATTTAATACTGAGTGAGTCCTATGATACTGAAATTAAGAAACATTGAGAAAACAACCTTGTTACCCTTGTTTATAACTGGGGGTCCTAAAACCTTAAAGATTTATCTCACAAGACAAAAAGAGCCAAAACACTGAGTGGTCTGACAATAGTCACAGTGGAAATTTGCCATCACACCATTTGAATGTGAAAACACATTACAACACCAACCGATACCTCTCCAGTCTACGTTGTAATGGCCCCTTCCCCTTGCTCCCTTTACGACCCCTGGTCCAATTTGGTGTTGCGGATGGTGTGAACAAATGGCAAGATTGTCTCTAGTTTAAGAATGTACTCAGAAAGTAAAATGAATAAGTTATCTTGCAATAATGGCTGTCCTGTAATAAATACATTTTTGATAATCAATTTCCACCCATGCCGATAGGTTCCACTATTCAAATATTCAAACAACAAGGCCAGTTGTTTGGTAATCATATTTTGCATGTAAAGTTGACATTCAAATGTGCATCAATAGCAATAGGCCCTTTTCACAGCAGCCATCTTGACATTTGGGTAAACACATAATTGATCAAATAAATGACGGTCCCGTTGTGTTTAGTGTCACAGCTGTTCCAGTGAGTCAGCATGCAAAATACCTCAATGGAACAGGGCCATAATTCATTTGATCAATTACACCTGTGTTAAGCTCCTATATATGACTTGTAGTAATGGCTGCTGTGAAAAGGGCCAATATGACATTGTGTATTTTTTAAATGTTCAGCATCAGGACAAGAGGGACGATGAAGCAGATGCTGGTTTTAATGAGAACAATCTGATAATGTGTGCCTTTGATCTGGTTGGGGCTGGCACTGAGACCACATCCACCACCCTGCGCTGGGCTTTGCTCTACATGACAAAGTACCCCGAGATCCAGGGTAAGAGCTCACAGGCGTGGACAAGAAGTCATTGGGAGTTTGCTTGACAGAAACAAGTGCAAACCTGAATTGCACTCATTATTAAGTCCCAGACTCATTTATTGTTCCCTCCTCTGCTGTCCTGTTTCACAGCAAAGGTCCAGGCCGAGATAGACGGAGTGATTGGACAGTCCAGACAGCCGTCCATGGAAGATCGTGCCAACCTGCCTTACACGGACGCTGTCATACACGAGGTCCAGAGGATGGGCAACATAGTTCCTCTCAGTCTGCCTCATATTACCAACAAGGACGTTCAGCTGGGAGGCTACACAATCCCAAAGGTCAGTTCTCATACATAGTTTTTATGTCACATACACGACCATGTTGCATCTTTATGAATTGCTTTTACAATTTCAATCACCAGGGAGTTACAATAATCCCGAATCTGACCTCGGTGCTGTTTGACAAGAATGAGTGGGAGACGCCCGACACCTTTAACCCAGGACACTTTCTGAACGAGGAGGGCAAGCTTGTGAAGCGAGCTGCTTTCATCCCTTTCTCTGCTGGTAAGTCCCATTTCATTAAAAAAAATTCTGTAAAGATTATTTTGGGGGGTTTTGTTTTGCCTTTATTAGATACAGCTGGAGATAGACAGGAATGAGGCAGAGCGAGGGGGCGACATGCAGCAAAAGGGCTGCTGCAGTAAAGACTCCTATGTTGTCTACCAGGTGAGCTACCAGGGCGTCCCCGATTGTCTGTTGAATTGTTGTTGTGGAATTTTGATGCAGGCAAGCGACTGTGTCTCGGGGAGAACCTGGCCAGGATGGAGCT